GTCATCGTCATCGTCGATCCCGTCGCCGCGTTGCATCGTGCTGCGTCGACACGCCTTGTCGCATTTGCCGGCGTAGACTGTCTTGAACGCGTCGCTGAGAAAGCAGCGGCATCCAGCGGCGAGGAACAAAATCACCACGGCTATCATGATGGCGGCCATTGCTGTCACCACGCCGCGCGATCAACAAGCGCGACGGAGCTGGGCCCCGCACGACACGCGTGACGAGAACCGAGTCGTCATTACTGTCGCGATCTGACGTAGACTTTATTATTATTATTATTATTATTAATCCTTGCTTGATGTTCTCGCCTTTGATAAAGTATCCCTTCCGCCCTATACTCTTTCAATGCACGCCGTTTTTGCTTCTCTGTATCTGTGGAAGAAAAATGATGCATGATGCCAGCAACGGTCGCAAAATTTACTCAGTAGGAACCCCCCCCCCCCAATTTGCTGAAAAACTCGGCTGCGTGCCTTTCAGAACATTTGGAAATGTGCAGTGACAATTTTCTTAATATCTCTTACTCTTTCTTGTGGATAAGAATTATTCATTTATTCTGTTGCGGAAATTTGATGAGGTGTAATTATATTTGTTTAGCTCAATGGCGTCAATACGTTCCATTCTCATGTACATGCGAACAAGAGTATTTCCAATGAAATGAGGAATTATGAAAATGCCAGGGGAAACCCTCAATGGGGGAAAGCCTCCCAAAAGAATTCACTGGGTTGGGGTAGAACATACTACAGATTACTTGTCATATAGATGAGGGCAAAAACATGGCCCATTAAAACTATACATTGGGGATGCTTTAGGCAATGCTTCCAGTTTGTTCAAAGCCTGTGTTGGTGTCCGATGTGTAAACTGCCGATATTGCATTTTATTATGCATGATATTCCCAATGCTGATCGAAGTCTGTCTACGGTTTTCAGTACTAAAAAAAAGGGTTTCAGAATATTCAAATAGAAAATTCACCCTAAAAATATCCAGATGATATTTCGAAATGCTTTCATATTTCGAAATACTGAAAAGACTTTCAGATTGATGTTTGAATCTCAAATCATACTTTTGATTAGGCCTGCATTCTGCATGTAGTGGGAATTACTGTCACAGGTGAGCAAGAAGTTCAAATAATTAGCTCTTTCGACTGAAAATCTCGCAGATTAAAATTGCCATGCAATACCCCACTGGAATCCATGACCGAAATCTCGACCGAGTTCACATCCATCATCTTATAACTAACCAACAATAAAGTGACAAAGAATTCCAACATTTTTGTCGCTTTCGGAAATTTGGTGACAGTTGAGGCCAGAATCAGACTTATAAAGTTTTGAGATTTCAGAAGTTATGTTTTTCTGACACTTTTGTAGACAATCCTCTTGACTATTCCAGAAATGTGTAGTCATCTTAATTGCTTAGCAATTCGTGATTTTTCCTGGGAAATTGATTCACAATTATAACAGAATGATCTGTTTTACGCCCTCGAACTCGTGGAACGTTCCAGAAATTTCTCCAAGGAACATAACATTAAATCTTTACTAAAGAACATTACGGACGGACGTCTTCAGTTTATGACTTTGGAAAATTATGGAAGAGTAATGAAAATCTCAACCTACATTTTTTATTTTATGAGAATTTTTAAAATTATGGTACCCAAGTCCCAATGAAAACGCTATTCGACCGTGAAATGCTTTTGTAGCCTGAGTTTGTTGTAGATGCTGTTGTAGATGAGTTTGTTCACAACTCACCGCTTGTTCACAAGCGGAATCAATGTAGCGCTGGAAAAGACCAGTAAAATATATTTCACCTGATATTCATGTAGCAGTCGGATGGAAACGAAAATTTTTCTGAATTGTGATGCTCATACATATAAGATACATTTCAAATATTTACTTTCTTTTCAGAACGAGCTATTCTTTTCATTTTTCTCCAATAATTTGCTGATGAAAAGCATGAAAAATGAACAAAATCATCATCGTTTGACAGATTTGGTTGCGGAAATTATTCACAGAGGTTGGATTAAATTTCTTCTAGACAATCAATTGACTCTTTTTTTCTTAATCATCAGATCTCAACTGTCTCATCGCTTGCCAAAGTCGTTATACCACTTTCAGGAGAGAGTTTTTTCATCAAATGGAATTTCGAAAATGGGAGACATGCGATCTCTCTTTAATTTCAGCATTCCCAGAATTTCTGATTTCTTGAATAAGGTACGACGATCAAGGTCATGGCCCAACGCAATCTTCATCTAGGCTTTCACCAAATCAATTTTATTATCCTAGCTGATATCTTCGCTGGATTGAGGTTTGAGATATGAGTTTTCTATGGACCCGATGAACTGATGACAGAAGACATCAGCGCTCCGGTCAAAATTAAATTGACGCATATATGATCTTTGGACCAGATTGATATCAAAGCTGCGATGCTTTTCAGTCAAGAAATCAAATTTCCGTCCCTAATGTCACGAGGGGTGGAACACAATTTTCAGATTTTGCGCTGCAATTTTATAATGAGCATAGATAACTAAAGTGAATATCTTTTTGGAAGAAGTGCCGCTGTATATGGCTTCTTTTTACATATTGTGGAATAATTTTCACTCAATAAAATAGATTCAATAACGAATCATAGCCCCATACTTTTTCATTTTTAGCAGAACGAAGGTTTCTGTAACAAAAAACCTTCTCGTCGGTAAGGATAGACCACCACAAAAAGGAATGAATCGGAATTTTTTTTCTAAGTGCAAGAGAAAAACGAGGAATTGTTACTGAAAAAAGGTATGCCTACTCTAGTTTTAAAATGAAAATCCAACTGGCAAAACTTTAATACAGCCCTACGTGCGTCCAGTATATACATTGTAAATAAATTCAATTTACCCAATAATCAGGGGCTTATGTAAGAAAACTTCTTGTGCGGATGCGCTGAACGATTTTTGGCATCTCAAAAACATGTGAATGAAAGAATTTGTAATATTTTACTGTACTACATTATTATACACGAATGGTCGTATCCGAAGTCACCACGATTTTTTCGGCACCCGTGCAGTAAAAAAAAAATAAGGGCAATGTTGGCGGTTTTAATCTCGAATCATTAGTTGAACCAATTCACAGATCCTCTGTTGAACCAGTTTAAAATATATAAGAAAATGGTCGAATGTTATATTCTACTTCAAAATGCAAGCGCTGAAATAAAAAGATGAGTTCTTTCAAAGCGAAATACAGTGTCTCAAAACTCTGGAATGATGATAAAATAAATTGATTGAAGATAGACCCATTTTTATGCCGAATCCAGTCATCACGCAAAATGTAAATGTAGTTTGTGAAAAATATCGATGGTAGAGCTTGATTTCTGCATGCTTAAGATGAGAATTCGAGCAAAACCAATAAACGGTTTAATTTTTGGAAAGAGTATCATGATGAATCATCCGAATTGAAGAGTTCTTTCTCTGCTGGCAGACAAAAAGCTACGGTACATCGCAACACCGTAACCGTTAATTAATTTCTCCTTCTGGTTCGATGAAAGATCATGAACGTTTTTTAAAAATAATTTTGATGAGAAATTTGAGTTTAAAAAAGTACACCCATTGAATTACGGGAAGTTCATTGTTGAATAATCGGCAGAAAATGCTCAATGATTCTCTGTGAACTGAGCTCGTTTCCAAGCCCGGGATAAAATGGGTATCTATGTCTCACTTTCATACGAAAGGTACTGACTGATAACGAATATTTTAGTTTTCTCAATGGTTATCTCTCAATAAGCTGGCACAAAACCACTTCGTGATTGTATGGACCACCTTATCTAAATCACGTTCTCCGTCGAGCTTCAGACTATGGTCCTCATCGTTCGTTGGATACATAGCGAGGATTACTTTCCGAAAGTGATTCGATATGAAAAGATTGTGAAAATGCGAGATCGTTATACTTTAGGAACCTTTCATTAATCGAATGCGGTTTGGTGGAATAACTTGAATACATGTATTTTTCGGCGATATGATGCGATGGTCGTCTTTGAGAAAATTTTGTTCAAGGGTTACATTATTGAACAAATATTTTCCATTGAACAGAGATTACTTCAAATTTTGACAGTTATTTTGTCTGAGTTGTGCGTGTAAAATTTTGCTGGTCAGTTGATGCAAATTTCTTCCCAAATTGAGAAACATTTTCATATTTAATTTGATTGAAATCTAATCGAGGCTTTCCGGGGCATCTTTTCCGAAAATTTGAACGTAATTTTAGCTCCTAAAAATCGAGGCATTATAGATTTAGAAATTTTTCTCTTGAAAATATCAGCAACGCAATGAAACCATTGCTGATCAAAGAGGATCAGCAAAGAGGGTTCGGGTTAATTTTCGGAGTCACTCGGATGCACTAATGCCATTTAATTATAAATTTTGGATCGTCAACTCTAGGCACACATAGATGGGAAACCAATACATTTTCAAATCTGCAAAACTAACTAAAAACAAATCCATGACATTATCTAATGAAATAACAGAACAGATATGCTTGAGATTCACTGTTCAAGGGGGACAATTAGAACACCCGTCGAAATATGAGACAATCCCCAATCTTTTTATTTATTTAATTTCGGAAAATTGAGAAAATTATTTATTTACAATACATTTAGCGTCAGTGGCTGCTGTTGTGTGAGGAAAAAACCCAAAGATGATCATCAAACATTTTCGCTCCTTTCTTACAGATTCATCTTCAAATATTGTCATCAATATCAGCATTGCATTTGTTAAGTTTTTGGTGATTATTAATCGCAAAAACTACTTTGGTAACCATGAAATCGATGGCTGTTAGCTGTTAATATACAGTATCAACATTGCATTTGTCAAGTTTTTGGTGATTATTAATCGCCAAAAATACTTTGGTAACCATGAAATTGATTGAAATGATGGTTGTTTTTGCAACGAGGACACATTTTTAGCGTTGTTTTAATGTCCTAATGAGTGTTTTCTGTTCCCACAGATTCATCTGAAAATTTTGTCATCAAAATCAGCAGCATGGAGCGTCTCGCGTTTCTCGTCGCGTTTTCGCTCGTCGCAATCACCGCGCCCGGTGCGTTTTGTGCAAAAATCCTGTTCGCCTATCCTATAGCTGTGACTAGTCACACACAAGTGTACGAGCCTATAATCGAGGCCCTGGGCCAACGAGGTCACAACGTGACAGTGTACGCAGGTTTGGCCCCGCGTCGAGAAATGCCGCCGAATGTTAACCTCCACATTTCCAAGCAATTGGAAAACGTTTTGTCAGGAGACTCAGGACCTTTGAATAACTCTTTTCAAACACTGCGCACTCCGCTGAATTTCAAAATGATTTTCAACTCGTTTGACTGGCCTCGGCAGTGGTGTGAAGAGATTATGCAAGTGAGTTCGGCATCTTCCTGTCTTTGTTTTTCACGACTACTTTTCCAGTACAATGTGTATTTGGTCAATACATGCTGCAAATGACCGACTTTAAGCAGAAAATATTGAAGCTATCGAGCGATTTTGCTTCGGATAACAGACTAGGTGATCCTCTTTGGAAAAAACTTCGAAAATGGCTGCCAACATCATGCTATTAGAGAAATGCCTAGTGCTATTGAACAAGAATAGTACTGTTTTACTCGTTTCAAAAAAAAAATTTTCATATGGTATCCCTCGAATTGTGCAATGAAGTGAAGCCTGATGAGAAATGACTCTTCAAAAAACATTTCTCATTTTGCTTCGTCAAGACCCCACTGGAAACTTGGTTCCCCGACTGTCTGAGAATCATTTCGAATTTAATTCAACGATTTGGAAGTGGTTGAAGCTTCCCGATGTAATTGAATTGAACGTTTTCCTCAATTAAAATGTCATAAAAATGTTGGAAAAATAAGTTTCCCTACAATATTATCTACGAACCAGCTCAGAAATGCGAAACACGAAGTTCAACCCATCCAGTCAAGAAAAGAAAAAGTTCTATCCAGCGCATAATAAGGCACATTTTCCATCCTATAATAGATACCTTTACACACTACCCAGTTAATTATCAATCCAATTAATAAATTTCCACACGATAGATGATTTTTAAAGCACAGTTTATGGAATAAAAGCGACCGACCTGTAGCCTAAGGCAAGGTTGCGCAATGTTTTTGGCCTGAGGACCCCTTTTCACAATATTGGGCACTATTTGCAGTAATGTTTTTTTTACAACAACCTCTATTAAAATCAAATCTGTGGTATAATTTCCTGAGGTTTATCCCGGGCAACGAAACGGTCAACATTGTTGCATGGAGCCGTTCTACAAAGAATCGTGGACACCCTAGTTCTTGCTAATTCGTTATTTTAAATTCAGGTAAAGACCTCAATTTCTCGTGTTCAAATCAATTCCACTTTCCATTTACTACTTTTCTTGAACAGCCGTGAAGTTTCTGTATCCAATTGTCAACTCCTTGAAAGTAGTTGAAATAGTTGGTACTATGATACAAGAAATGTCCCGAGACTCATTGTTCATATGAAAAATGGGAGATGAGTGGTATAGAGATAGACGAACTCCTCATCATCTGTCTTAAGTAAATAAATAATAATCCGTTTTAAATTAAATGATTAAATAAATCATAAATAACTCCTCATCATCCGTCTTTCTCAATATGTTACAGCGACATCCGTTAGCTTAATTATGATATTTTGGTCTTCTAAACGAGGACCCGGTGTATCACAACCTGTGGAATGCGTCCAACGACACGGTATTCGACCTGGTCATCGTGTCCAGCGCGTTCAACGAGTGCGTCTACGGCCTCATCTGGAGGGACAAGCTTCCGTTCGTGCTGGTCAGTCCGACCGGAATGTTTCCCTGGGTCGGATACGCAATCGGAAATCCCAGCTACGTTGTGGCTGCCCCAACCCTGTTCCTCTCATCCTCGTCGAATCGCATGAACTTCATGGAACGCCTTTCCAACTGGGCCATCTCTGTCATTTACGGAGCCATTTACTACTGGAACAGCGCACCGAAAACGTCCAACGTGCTCAGACAGTATTTTCCCGAGTTCCCGCATCCTAACGAGGTGAGTCAATATTTTTTTTTGGCGAGATTTTGTGCCCAAGAGCGCCGAAATGAAACAAAAAAATCCTGGAATGATGAGTTGCATGCCCAAATAAGTCCAGGAAGAGTCCAATTTTTTTCTTTGCAAAAATGTCAGCTAAAATCCAGAAAATTCCCCTCTGGATGACTCTTATTTCTGAATTTTCCCCACAAAAAGTTAAAATTGAAAGATCTTTCAGAGAATCTCCAAAATGCTGGGCTACTCTACCCAGGCTGCATGTGAAACAAATATGAAACCCAAACGGGCCAGTGTGCAATAATAAATAAAATAAGAAATCCCGAAACTAATAGTGTGACAATGGGGAACAGTCTGATTTTAAATCATCATTTTCGTCGTATACGGGCTTCGTTTTTATAATCAAGTAATTTACTCGTATCGCCGTATTCCTGACTAAAGCCCATCAAGATTTATTTTCAAGATCGACCTGTCAGATTGCTCTTGAAGTTTCTCCTACATTATATTCATATATACACGGAATTCAAATCAAACAGTGTGTCTCATCATCAAACGACGTTACCTGTTGAAACTTTCAATATACCTGAGAGTGTTTTCTTGAGTTCAAGCGAAAACACGACCCGCCCCAGAAAATAATCCGTTCCACTAATACTTTCTGGAATTCGAAGCTCGAATTTTCACCTTGTCGATGGATAAATGCTATACGGGATTCCCAAGAAGTCTCACGATTTCCTTAAAAATCGTCAATATATTTAAATGAAACATTCATGGAATCCATTTTCTGTAATCTTTTGTTTTCAAATTTGTTTTCCATTTTTTGAAAATATCACTAAGTAAAGGCGGATGAAATTTAGTATGAATTTCGTGCACCATGAGGATATCCTATCATTTAAAAAGTAAAGTTAGGTATATGCCTTCTTGAAAGGTAGAACAATAAAAAAAGTGACATGAACCGTTGGAAAAAAAGTATTACACTGTGGAAAAGTTACTTCTGTGTGCATTTTAATTTTTTTTTTGGAAAATCATCATTCCCACGATTTTTCTAATGAAGGGTCAGAAATTATAGGAGAAATTTCTTGCACGGAAGCACGTTTACTGTAAATTCACGTTAGAACTCCTTGATAAACTTCCAAATTTCAGAATGCTCTTGAAAATGACAATTTTTGAAGTTCGTTGGGCAAGTTTCCATATTAAAATCCCCTGAATTATTTCTGTTCTTATCTCATTTACTATATATGCTATATATACAATATAGAACTATTGGCCACGAACTATAGGCATATCTTTTTTTTTTTTTTACAAAAAAAAAAAGGAAATTAAAAAACAGTTCCATCTGCTACCAATTGAATTTGTTTCTACGAAAGGACTTTTGAGGAAACCCTTTCAAGTTCGCGATTCAAGAAAGCATGGGACAAACTACTGAACTGCATTAGTGTACGTCTTCTCCTTTTAAGCTGCAAACTTTCAAGTCGCAATTTAAATTTCTCACCTGTTCGGAGCCCGAACTTGTTGAATGTTTGAAAAACAAAATGTTCTGCAGATTTCGAGCGAAATAAAAACGGCGCTCGCAAATATTCAGAGAGAGAAGAGCTCGCATATGCTTACGAGTGTAGCGCAATTTCCGCGTGCAGTTAAAAGTTGTAAAAGTATTTAATTGGGATGGATAAGAACTTCCTTTCTAGATGACAGTTTTCCGTGATCTCCCTATCTCCCTAAACTGTCCGATCTTACTTTCAAATTAAATTCTGTGGAATAGTTTCTTAAATGGAGAAAAATGTGGCTTCTACAGCACGAAAGTCAGCACCGGTGCTACCGCTATTTTTGTACACATCGAAAAGCACATAAGCTTTCAATATAAATTATGATTGCTTGTAGAAATCTTCCACAGTTGAAAAATTAAAAAAAAAATTAATCAGAGACTAGCTTTCTCAAAAGATTTTACTTCGAAAGTGAGGACGACTTTCGAAGGGGAAAATATTATGAGACTAGTCTTTGACAGTCTTACTTTTCGAAAACTGAATTTCAATGAACATGGAACGCAGTTTTGAAAAACAAGCGAGATAAACTGCAGGTCTTGAAGTATGATTAACTGATCAAATGTCTTGTAAAAAAAATTCAAGAACTGTATGGTCAAAGTTTGTCTCATCGTCGATGGTATCTCATATTCCAGCCAATACGATAATAAGGAAGAAAAATTAAGGTGTGTGTTACATCGACTAAATGCAAGATTTCTTCGAAATTCGTACATGTTCTTCACGAGTTTTAAAAAATATTTATTTATTATTATTATTACATATATTTTTTTCTTTCGGACAGGTTACGAAGAACGCGTCTTTGTACCTGCTCAACACGGATATCAGCATGGATTACCCCCGTCCGCTGTTGCCATCGGTGAAAGAGATCGGTGGGTTGCATTGTCGATCAGCCCAACCTCTTCCGGAGGATCTGGAATCCTTCGTCACCAAACCCGGAAGTAGTGGACTCATCTTGTTCAGCCTCGGTTCCACGGTCAAAGGTGTGCACATGCCGCCTCAGTTCCGGGCGGTGTTCACCGAAGTATTCCGACGTCTCCCCGAATACCAGGTGCGTTATGAAATTATGTTTAATTCGAAAATAAAAATTAAGAACGAACGTATTGCGACAAGCAACAAATAGTAGAGAACAAGAAAATGAGAGAATATACCAGGGTTTTCCAAAAATTACCCAGTCACCCCTGAAAAGCAATTATCCAAATTAGACGGTGAATTATACTGCGTTTTCCCGAATATAATCCAAGTCTCCATATACATGGTCTATATTCTTCTAATTGGACCATGGTATGTCTCATCTTGGAATGAAGTAGGTCGGGAATGAGTGCTGAATGTTTCAATGATGGTAATTCATTTTTGTGGGGTCTTCCAGAAAGGTGAGATTAGGTTAGTACAGTATCAAATGTAGCAAGTGACAGAAGAACAATGGGCTTAAGTTTTGAAGCTGTATTTTCTTGAATTTAAGGACAGATTATTTCATCAGCGTTGTATTTTAGCGAAATACCCGCAATTGTACAGTATTTAACTTGTAGGGGATGCGAATTATCTTGAAAACTGTCTAAAATTGAACGAGCAATATTCAGGAATTACGTCGTAATTTTCGAGGGTTTTTAATCCTTCAATATCCCCGCCCATCCCATGGATTGAGGGGATTTCTGTCAAAATATTATTAACACGTTTGGAGAAACCAGGCCAAACCTCTTTGAATTCTGACATTGTGATTTCTTCTTAAATACAAATAGAATATTATTCTATATCAGCAATATCCATTTGTAATAAGTTCATGGCGGTTCAGTTTATTTATATTATAGGCATGGAACTTTTTATTTTAATGATACAGAGGTTTACGCCATCATCTTTTGCTTTTCAGAAATAAATTTTCGAAGAAGGAAAATATTTTCAAAGCGAACTGGTTTGCTTTTTCCTTATCAACTAAATATTTTTCGTTAGAATAATTATCAATTTCGAACCTATAGGAATCATTTTAATGAGTAAACGACATAAACGAAAGCTATTTAGAGAATATTTCATTTGTCTCAGGTGATGGTGCTGATCAGTCGTGGATGAGAACATGCTAGAAGCCCCTATAAAATTTTTTTTTATAATTCTCAATGAACACGGTATATTCTAGCACCAAACTTGTATTTTTAATGAACACCATCTTCTTCATCTGTTCGCTCTAAACTTGAACACACTGTATACACATCAGCGTCTTCAAAATCTCGAACTCCACCCACGTCTAGTATACACAACTCATGCGTCGCAAATCATGCAACACCCGTCCGGGATACCGGAACTACTCGAGAGAAAAAATCGCGTTCCACCTGCCGAGAAACGGCTGAAGACCAGGCCAAAAATAATCTGCAAATACTGCACCTGTATCGGCAAACATCGGCTCTCGAGGAAGCGTTAAAGGAAGCGCACAATTCCCACGCCCCATTCATGACCAGGTAGCGGGACAAACGTGTGCAGGAAGCAATTTCTTAAAAGCGTGTCGACCGTGTAGTATACATACATATTTATATATATATATTTACAAGTATATGAAAGAAGAAGTGCATAAAAGCAGGTGGGTACCGTACCCATCGCGTTGGATCGTCGTTAAAGTGCAGGAAAAAAAAAAGAAGAAGATAGAGAGAAAAACCCTCAGGGACGGGTTCTCTGTGCATAATGACGCACCTTCGCGTGAAAAGCTCTCCAATTCCCTGGGCAACGATTTTCCCAGCCTGCGAGAGAGGAATAAACCTAGGTGATTATTCGATGACCTCGTCTTCGGAAGACTTCGAGTTGCATGCATATACGGAGACACTCGGTCGATCTATTCTTACCACCGTAATTTTTCTGGAATATGAGACGAAATTGATTTTCAAGACGCACCTTTAATTTTTTGCCGCTAAAATAAAAATAGAATTTAGACGCACTAGCGTTAATTGCCTCTGTTGAGTACAGTATACTCATGCCTCGGTATCAGCATGAATCACCTTAACTTTTCTAATATAAATCAGGAATACTCTTAGATTTGAAAGGCATTTGAACTGAAAATTATGGTCGGGTGTTTTTCTCGTTAAATTGCAGCTTTTACTTGTACAGTATTCAAAAGATTGTGTTGGCCTGAAGCAACCATACAAATCACCTGCTGTTAATTTGTCATCAAGCCTTGAGACGCCAATCCAATTTCAACAAAGAGCACCCTGAAATCTTCCGAACGACAAGTTCCGCAAAAATAAATGCGCGCGTCATATTCCGGTAAAGACGATATTCCTCATGGTGCAGAATTTTTTTCGCAAATTGCCTGCGAGGCTTTCTTTGCACACTTCCTGTCCACGGGGGGGTTGCGTTCAGTAATTTCGAGCACACGCGTGCTTCGGATTAGCTGAGAGAGAAAAACACTTTTTTGTACTATTTTTTTTTTAGAAATTTTCAATGGGAGAAGCTGAGAGCGATTACACTGCTTATGAGCAACTTATGCTGTAATTTTTGAAGATGGATGGTAATGTTTCTTGTGCCGCGCTGGAACGAAATTGAGCGGTAAAAATAGCGACTTTTTTTCTTGCACCAGTGCCCTTGAACATTAACGATAACGACCCGTATTTCAGAGTAATTATCTTGACAGCAGTTCATTGTACGTGATTACTCGATTCCGAAGGCAAAACTGTCTTGCAAATAGTTCAAACTGGCCTCTTTTTTAAAATTTCAGACTAAAGTTTTGGTGATTCACGTACTGTACACTGTATGTCCTCACTTCATGACTCGTTGCATCGGTGTGACAATTATAAGCAATTGCCCACAAAATTTGAGCTAAACTCACTTTTAAAGAATAAATTTGTTTTTAATTTGTTTGACTTATAATTTTTTCTCCTGTCATTTTGTCAAGACAAGTTTTCGATTGCCCATATATACAGCAAAATCTAAAAAATACAAACGCTTGTGAATCATCGAAAAATCAGCGGATTCTAAGTTTCATTCCGCCATCTATCATACTTTCGAAAGGAGTCCATGTTTAAGATATTTTTATGTATTTTTCTTCGGCGATCATGTTCTTTAACATCAGACGCGTCTTTCAAAAAAGTAAAGAAAACATTATTAAAAATACTGTATTCACAAAAACTGCGGACGATGTCAGAAATATCACTGATCCGAAGAAGATTGACTGTTTCTAATGTCAAGATTGAAAGACTTTAATTTTTCAAAGGAAAATGGTTTTTAAGACTGAAACAGTAGCTGAAAAAGTTTTCAAGTTGATATTATTCATTAATTACACTGCCAAAAAAAACTTATTGAAAAATTCTGACTAGGCCTGCCGCCCATTATCATCGTGGACGAATGTGCACTTCCAAGTATTTGTCTCATCTCTATTTCAACACATGTTCAAAAAATGTGGAACATATTACAGGAAATTATAGAGTTTTAACACGATATTTAAAGTTTTGCATCCACATTCGTCCATCGTTGCCATAAATTCAACGCGGGCTAGCGCAAGTTACAAGATTGCCAAAACTTGAAAACCAACCCTCGTCTACTGTTTGCAGGGAATGGGGAAAACAATCAACATATCGCATAATGAGCGAAAAACGAGCTTTCTCTGAATTATTAAGAGCATAATTACCAAATCCTAAACATTCTTTATACGTACAGTGCATGCCCTAGCTCGTCTACACAAACACAAAACCCCCGGGGGATGATGAGAAATTAATTAATGGGCGTCATTATATGTGATGAACGAACTCGAGACGCGAGCCTTATGATGCGCGTGACTAGTTGCCAATTTGCCGTCTCATCTTGCTGATACGGCCATCCGAAATAAATGAAGCGAACCCGAATGGCGGAACGTGATAATTAATCTCCCTATGGGATCAGTACCAACGTTGAATGACATATTTTCCTTTGGCATTCGAGCAAATGTTGTGTCTCGGCATCAAACGAAACCTACTTGTAAAAGTAATACGTGAGAGTGTTTTCCAGAGTCGTCGTGCGAAAACACGACCCATGGATAAGATCGGTTCGACAAGCACTTTGAATTGAAATCGGAAATTATCAACTCGTCAGCGAATACATACTGAGGATTTCGTAAAAGTCAAGAGTCGTGCGAATCAAATCGTAATTGTCATTCTATTGTGAAGAAATCGCAAGTGCACTCATTTTTAAAATTTAATCTGTCGGGTCACAAATGAAGTAAAAATCTTCGGCGGAATAACAAAGTATCGAATTTAACGATTGTTACTAGGTGTCTTTTAAATGCTTTCAGCAGGAAATTAATTCATTGAGGATCTTCTTAATGTATGGGTTGTAAAAAAATATCAGTTTGTGATGAAAATATGCTCACTATGAAAGCTGAGGCAGAACAGGTCGACAGAAAAAGCCCAGCATGGAGAACTTACAAAAATATGTTAAAAAGTACTCTCCAAGTTCAAAAATAATTCAAAAAAACTGAAGTACTCGTTGCTTGAAATTAGAGACCCGTAATATGATACTAGGTCTCCTAATTGAAATTTAAATATTTTTATGGTTTTCGTACTTCAGCAGGACGCACCTTTTTCGTCTGAAATTCGCACTGAAAATTTAGACACGTTTGAGTATGGATTTTTCCTGATCTTTTTCTTTTAATGTCGTTGAATGTCAGGATTACATCAGCGATCATAATATTTAAAATAAATTATCGAACAAAGTGAGATAAGATGAAATTGATTTCACCTTGTATTTGAGAATAGAGTGGAAATTTCAAATATCGTAATTTCTGAAATTTCAGCAGCAGAAAAGCGTCGATAACTACGGAGCACGTTTTATTGCAGTATTGCATTGAATTTAACAGCACGCTTTATTTTCCGCTTTTCAGCGTTCATAAGGTTCATTAAGGGAACATATTTTGCAAAATTCTTAGCCAAAAAATGGAGGGGTTGTATCACCAAAGTTCGTGGTACTTGAGTAAATAGGGTAGATGGAAAATTCGGTAAAATTCTATTACCACCAAGTTCCGTCTGCCTACAACAAAAAATCTCTTGATGACTTGCCTGGTAACTGAGAACCCCCATCAGAGACGTATGAGGATTAGATTTTTGTTTTTCGGAAACGAGCAGCAGAAATCCCATTTTCCAGATCTCATGTCAGTGGTCTCACACTTTTTACATAATGCTTGTGACATCGGAAAAGCACCGTGATTCAACTCAATAATTCCTGGAAAGCACTCGGAGTTTCTCAACGGTTCAGAGGCAATACAAAATCGAGCCGAGAGATGCGACAGGCAAAGACGCGTGCAGGCGTGTCAAAGAGGAATCCCATATTTATATTTCCGGGATCCGGAAATTCCAATAATCTCGATTTGCATTCCATGGAATACGGCTCGTCGACCCGTTTCCGTGATCCCACATCGCGGAAGGGAACCCGGTGAATTAGAAAACAAGTGGAAAGCATCCCTGGAGAATGCCCACACGGTTAGAATAGGAGATGCCATAAATGGAGAAGCTGGTTATGGGAGGATGGATGGATAGACCGGGCATCCGAGGAAGACGGGAATGCTCGTGAATAAAGTATGATCGGTTCAACGCAAAACATTCCCCCGTTTCAAAGAGCATTTTTCAGGGGAGAAAAAAGAAAGAAAGAAAAGACACCCGAAGATCGCTGAAGTTGCACGAAAACTTATCACCTGGGGAAGCTCTCTTTTTTCTGCTGCTGTGTTCTTTGGTGTCTCTTCCGAGTCCTCGGTGTCTGAAAAACTTCCACCGGTTTTCAAAAGTGAATGAAAAATAATGCAACGTGGTCACACAAGTTCAGTAGACGATAAAATCAGACTGAGCATGAATAAGCCAAACGCAGAATCTTCCTATAACATCATCATTCCACTAATATTACTCAATCCAACCAATAGTTTCATGATGAATGTCACTGAGCTTGTGAGGTTAGATTGATGAAAAAAAGAATCGCAAATGTAATTGAATTAATTCCAATTTGACTTATTTTCAAGCTAGCCTTGTTTTGCTTACGATTTGTCCACCTTTTCCGACTCTATTTTTTTTATAGTAATCAAAAATCAGCCGTAGTCTACTGCGGGGTAAAGTTTGTATTTTTATCTA